TCACTTAGATAAGGCCATCTTTCCAGATCCTTTTGGGTAGGTACATTTTCTTTTGAGACAGGAATCTTACTCTGTGTCTACACCTGAGGTAGGTCAAGGTAAGTACTGCCATCTAAATGTCCTATCTCCAATCCTTTAAGTTCGTAACTCTTTACAAGTCTTTCCTGACCCATTGTTCGTAGAACGACTGTCGTTTTTCGTGATTTGAGATTCAGCTGTCTCATTAGATTCTCTGTGCAGAATGACGCTGAACTGCCGGGATCAAGAAAAGCATAGGTTGAGATAAACGTATCTCCTTTGTGAACCTTGACTCGAACAGGCACTATGGCTAGGGCACAATCCCTACCGGCCCCAGTAGCTTCACCAGCCGAGACAAGTGCACTGTTGACCCAAGCTCCTTTTGTTTCAGTAGGGGGAGGCTTTTGTAGAAGTGGACTGTCAATGTGAAGTATTGTTGGGTGACTTTTTTGACACTTTTGACATGTCAGCCTTTTCCTACAGTTCCTGCTCATATGACCCCTCATCAAACATCCAAAACAATAACCATTTATCTTCAAAAAGTCAATCTTTTCCTTGTGTGGATGATTTTTGAACTGATGGCAATCAGTCAGCACGTGCTTGCCTTGACAAAAGTAGCAAAAAGAGGCAGGACTGCCCCCTTGTGGCTGTTTGAAGGTGCCACGCTGCTCTGTGTTTGATGGTGTGGCGCTGCTCTCCTGATCACATGCTGCTGCGATGATGGTGGCGAAGCTGCTGCCTCTACTCTTAGGTGTTCTGTGGCTCATGGGTTGGCTCCTAGTGGCCATCTTTGGGCTAGAGATGTGGCGATCCTGTATATCCCCAAATAATGGGTCCAGGAGTATTTTAGCTTGTTTTTCCATAAGCTCCACAAGGTCACGAAATCTAGCTCTCCTCTTTGTTCTCTGTAATATATCATAAGCCACTGTCCGCCATTTTTCTCGCAGTTTGTAAGGGAGTTTAGATATTATTGATCTTAGATTGGAAGGAATATCTAGTTCATCCATGTACTGTAAATCTTGCATAGCATTGCAGCATCCTCTTAAATACATTGCATATGCCTGAAGCGCTTTGCCATCATCCGGTCTAATTGATGTCCAGTTCATTGCCTTTTCCAAATAGGCGCTGCTTACTTTGATCTCGTCCCCAAAGTGCTCCTTTAATAGCTGTCTGGCTTCTGTGTAGCCTCTGTGGGTATCCATATGCAGGCAGCTGCGAACGAGATCTTTGGGCTGGCCGGAAGTGTACTGGTCGAGAAAGTAGAGCCTGTCATGACTGCTAGCTGTTTTATCCTCAATAAGGTGTTCGAATGCTCGCATAAAGGACTGATATTCAAGTGGATCACCATCAAACACTTTTATCTCCATTGTTGGTAACAAGGTACGTTTTTGCTGCATAATGATGAGGTCAGCAATATCTCTCTGTCTCTGTATAACAGTGTCGAGGTTATCATGGGTTTTATTGCGTTGGGTGGAGCTATGCATTGTGGGCATTTTAAAAGGTCTAAACTGTGTTGTGGGTTGCTGAGGGCTGCGAAGATTAATGACAGTCCTCTGAAGTGGTGTTGTAGGCACTGCACCCAATGGCATGAACTCCATGGCTGAGGTTTCAGGGTCCAACGTGTCTGTGCTTCTTTCTTTGCTTTCCTCCAGATAAGCATTCATTCCATCTTGAATTTGATCATCAATTTTTTCCTCCACGCCAATGCTTTGCAGAACCTTTATTTTAGCAGCAGATGCTGCAATTTCTGTGTCCAGTTCCATTTGTTCCAGTTGTAATAGCAGTGCATGTTTCTCCTTTAATCCAGCTGCTCTGGCTAGCAGGGCGGCCTTTTCAGCAGACGCTCTTATACATGCTGAGGAGACTGAAGAGCTTTTTGAGCTCTTTGACTTGTGTGAAACATTAGAGATGCTGTCATGGGGATGAATCTTTGATTGTGCAAAGTTTTCTCTTTTCCACACATCCACATCTTTCATACAATATTCAAAATATGTCATGTTTGGCTCAAACCAGTCCACATGATCCTCCTCTCTCTCTTCCTCTGATAAAAGCTGTTGTACGGATTCATGAACACTGCACAAGTCATTTATATTTTGTTTAAACATCTCCAAAGTTTCATTCACATGTTCCACATTCCCATCATCCACAAGCAAGGCCTTCATTTCGTTCATTTTCCTTGTGCATGCTCCTAATTTCCCACTGCGGGAGGCTTTGAGTGATTTTAACAATGTTTCTGCGTCAGCAGAAGTCCTGGGATTGTCCGACATGAATTATTTATTTGTTTTTAGGCCGTGCGTAAAAGACGTTGCGCTCCTTTAATGAGTCTCACAGAGCACGCCTACTGGCTTCCTTTGTTGCACAAACAAATTAAATCACATTCTTTTCACAGACGATCCACAGGTATTTACATTCCTCCTCCAATGTGTGCATCGCCGTTATGATTTCCTCTTAGACTTTAACACATCCGACATTCCATTCAATGCGTATACGGATTTATTCCATTTATTTACTCACGACCGGCCCAGTCTGTCAGCTCCGGTGTGTCCACAGGTGTGTGTCTCTTCCTTACGGAGTTTTTCGACTTGATGTAGTGGCATCCAAGGTTTCCTTTGCCACTATAGAGCGGGGTTGACGACACGCAATCCAAAGCAATAAGCAGCCGAAGGCTTTCAGTCAAAAAATGTAATTTATTAACAAAAAAGTATTGACTTAAATAGTCTCAAAATAACAAATCTAAATCAATATCTCGGCGATATACTTTCTTATATAAACTATACTTTGCAGTCCAATTTGCAACACTAATTTCTGTTTACAATTTGCGGTCGAAAAACTGTTCCGCTCCCCGTCTCATCAGGTCTCAGAGCACCGCGGCTGTCCTCAATTACCTCACTTAAATAAACACCGGAAGGTACAAGGAAACAGATCATATTTACGATTTAAAATAAACAATCATTTCATCAAAAGATATTCACCATGGCAATATAAATCATTTTACATCATTAATTCATTTATCAAATGATGAATCTAAATAATAACTTTGACTTCATTGTGGTTCTAACAAGGACGATCGTCCGTTCTGTGATTCTCCAGAACACACATGGCCAGTCTGCCCCTGTGTAGCATGTTATTTCGATGAGAGATGAGCAGATCGCCACTGGGCTTTCAACTAAAGACACAGCCACGCAAAAACTGCGGTATTTGTACAGCTCCTTATGGGTACTGCAATTTGTGAAGTGCTTTCCTCCGTGGTGAAACGATCAGCACTGCACCACGGAGGAAAGCGGCAGAAAGTCGCCTGGAGTTAAACAGAGCGGGGCTGCGTTGCGTGCATGGCTTCCTTCTGCAGGTAACGGGGAGACGCGCTCTGGCGGCGGTCTCGTTCAGGATCCGAAAATAATTTGTTTTATATTTTGCACACTTATTCCTAGTGTGCCACTGGTTACGGTGCCGCGTGCCAATGGTGGCACGCGTGCCAGGGGTTGCCGACCCCTGCTCTAGACTAAACACAGGTATGATCCTAAGTAAAAAAAATATGAGGTTATCATGAGGTTCTTAACATCGCAATTTATCAGTGGATGTTTGCTGGAACTACTTGTAAACAGCTTGTTTCCTGATGGACACACACTGACGCGTTGAGACCGGTCAGGTAGAGACCGGTCTCCAGTCAGCACCGATGCAGACTCGCTGTTTGATGGCTTGATAGCCCACTCCCCCTCCACACCGCTCCACACTCGTTGGTTTGGAACAGCACTTAATGTGGCGGACCTCCCGCGCGAACGCTAAAACGGAGGGGTAGTGTCTAGGGGTACGGTGTAGGGGGCGGTTTGGGATTGGGCCTGTGTTTTGCTCCGCTCACCGGTCCGTCACAGCGGGCGGAGCTGTGATCATGCAGAGCTGCGTGTCTCTGTCAGCAGCAGCTGATCTGCTCTCTGATCTCTCTCTCGCGCGCGTCCGGTTATACTTCACTCGCATTTATGTCCATATCGATCAGATCTAGCTAGTTCTAGCTAATGATATGACTGCCTGCGTATCAAAGGACACCTATAAGCGTTGCTTGGCAACGGGGGGGTGGCGGCAAAAGTATAGCGCAGCATTAAGCATTTGTTTACATGAGGGGTCAAAATGTCCCCTTCAGGAGGATAAATCTCTTTCTCCACATTAAATGTCAGACATTAGAAAGGAAGTGACTGTGCATGTAGCGTATTGACTCTTCTTGTCTGTCACATAAGTGGCGCAACTGATGCGGTATTGCGCTAAGGGGAAATTATTTTGACCGGACATTTTAACTGGGGAGATTTAGATTTGCCGGTCTTCAGCATATTTTACCGGTCATAGTCCGGTAATTACAGGCTAACGAAAACTCTGACACACACTGCTGTCAGGGTTGTCATATTTTCATGAAAGAGAGCGGTGTACATCTGAAAAACCGTGTTTATACAAACTGTAGCTTGTACTTTCTTTATTAATGAGATTTGTTATGGCATACATTTATATATATCGTGATTCATATATTCTGATATGGCATATTTTCCTTTGAATTTTTTCATTCATTATTAAATGACATTTTAATTAATATTTTGTAAAGACAGATGAAAGGGGTGAAATTGCTGGACTTTGGAGCCTAAGTCCTCCGCTTGGGGGCACAGCCCCAGTGTGTGGGCCACCAGCTCCACCAAGTAAGCTATACAGCAGTGCATAACAATTACAAATACTATATAATAATAACTGAATTAATTCATTATTGCCTAATATAATAATAATAACTTATGCCCTGATCAAATATCACTTCAGTTTCAGAAATGAAAAGTGAAAGTCTTGCCAGGTTTAGAAAGAACAGTTTTAAATGTAACCTGGGCGGACACACTTGTTTGGTTTTTGTGTGTGTGTGTGTGTGTGTGTGTGTGTGTGTGTGTGTGTGTGTGTGTGTGTGTGTGTGTGTGTGTGTGTGTGTGTGTGTGTGTGTGTGTGTGTGTGTGTGTTACCTGCCGTAGCTGGGCCAGGCCTCGGAGGATCTCCTGCTGTCGGTGTGTGTGTGTGTTGCGCAGCAGTTCAGGGTGGAGGAGTCGATGTGAGGGAGGAGACGCTGAGATCGGAGGAGCTTCTGATGAGGAGAAGAATAGTTTACTGACAGTCTGTTAAACAGTCTGTTTCTTTATTTAGTTATTTCATAATTTTTTAAGTGTGGCTCCTCTGTACAAACAACAACTGTAAAAAGCCTCTGTCCTGAAAGAGGAGTCGAGTACTATCAGTTAAGTGTTATGGTTACTTTTAATGTCTTGTCTTGGGTAAGGGGAAATAGCGGCAAAAAGAGTTGACATCACAATAAAAAAACACATTAAATGAAGACAAATGCACAGGTCAAGGTGTGTGTGTGTGTGTGTGTGTGTGTGTGTGTGTGCGTGTGCGTGTGCGTGTGTGTCCAACCTGTGTGTGTCCAACCTGTGTGTGTTTGAGGCGGGGGGGTGTCAGCAGGCTCTAGTGGGTCCAGGTTGAAGACTTCATCAGTGCGGACGTAAGGAATGAACTCCAGAGGAGGAGGAGGAGGAGAGGAGGAGGAAGGAGGCGCCGGCTGACCCTGGACTCTGAGTCTGACAGCGGGGAGGGGGGGGAGAGCGCCCCCTGCAGGGGACATCACAGAGGAGTCAACGCACTGAACATAAAACATCTTCTCTGGCAGATTAAAGAGCTGAACTGGGTTGCGGTCGAATAGTCCATTTAGCTTAGGAACCTTCCTAACGGAGTGAAATGACCCGGAAGTCCCTCAGTGGCAGCCATGATAAGTGCCGTTAGAATTCTCTAAATGAAAGGAAAGGAACTTCCTTTATAACCTCCGAAAGGAGAGGAGAAAATGCTTCCCCACAACGCCTTGCGGCCGCGGCATTTGCCGTCACACAACAGTCGGCCGTTCACGGAAACAACCGATTATGAACGAGAAATGATATCATGAAAGTTACGGTGCTTATTAAGCATTTTAAAACGTATGTGGTAAGTTGCCAAAGTGCTTTGTTTTGAACGTTCATCAGTATTATAATCAAAAAGAGAAATATGAACGTTAGTTTTTACTGAAATGATCAAATAAAGTCAACATTTCACAGTCTTTACTGAGCTGTGTGGGGTTTGTTCAACTTTTAAAAGATGTTTGAATGGTGATATACACAGTGATAGATGTTAAGGACTAACGTTTATAATAAATACATTTGTATTGATTTTAAGATATTTTCATACAATCATACGTATTGGGATCATTTGTATTAATGTGGACCGGAGGGAGAGGGTGACGAGCATAAGTTTCACTTTCCTTTTTTATTTCAATTCCAACTTTGGTCATGAAGAATATGTTTCTCTGTTGTCCCCGTTCATAAAGCATAAAACAACAGCATCAGAGCACGGTGTAGAGTCTCTAGATGAGTTTACAGTAGTCCCTCGTTCTTATTATACATCCATGTTGTAGTCCGCTGTATAGAAAACTGTAGTTTCCATAGTTTCCCCACAGCAGCAGGCGCACATTTATGACGTCCGCTGGCGCATCATAAACACGTCGGATAGTGAAAGTGCAGTCGGATTCTCTAAAGTACCGCAGTCTCTTCTCCTAAGTCCTTTTGAATTCTCCTATCCACTATCCCTTAACCCCATGACGTTTCACTCAGAGGTCAAGGAATAGACGATAGGGTTAGAATTTAGGAGCTGATTTTTGGACTATTGGACCGCAACCCTGGTGTTTAGTAATCACACTGTGGAACTTCTTCATGACTGCACAGATAACTTCCTGCATTTCCAGGAGTTCCAACTGCTCGACTTATACAAATGCATATTAACATTTGATAAGGCAGAAACTGTGAATTTTGACTTACTTTAAATGTAAAATGTGTATATTCTCTATCAAACAACTCATCTTATATTGTCTGTGTGGTTTACTCCTGGCAAACATCTTTACTAGAGACTTTTTCGGTTCTGATTTGTGTATGTCACAATTGTAGAATTGTCTCCTTTTTCAGGGGAAGGGGTTGAACAGTAAGACATCTGCTCAGAGCTGCTCACCTCTCAGGGCTGACAGCTGCAGCGATGCGGAGTCCTCTGGAAACACTCTCCACCTGCAACAAACACTCATTAACACATATCCAACCACAGAGAATATCATCATCCTGCAGGGAAAAACTGAACTCCTTTGGAGAAGGGAAGTAACAAAAGGTGATCAACCTCAACAGTTATATTAAATGAAATTAAAACAAAAGCAGCTTTTCAGAATTCACTGTGAAGGTTTACAGTATCAGGGGGTTCCCTACCTTCCTGGTGGGACTGGTTCTGGTGTGTGTGGGGTTGGAGGGGACAGAAAGCTCCCGCTGCTGAGGAGGAGGAGGAGGGGGGTCGGCCCTGGACAGGCAGGTCCTCTCCTGCAGAGCGAGGAGCTCAGCCTGCCTCCTCTGCCGGCTCTCCTGCCTGTTCCTCTGCAGAGCAGCTGGGTAACGCTCCGAGGCGGGGACAAACTGCCGGCTGGGCCTAAGGAGCAGGAACAGGTAAAGAGGGGGGGTCTGAGCAAATAAATACTGACAGGGTGTGAGGTCTTTATTTTTTAAGACAATATGGAGGTTGTGGGATTGATTTTGGATCTCTACATTCCTGATTTTTAACATTGAAGGGTTGATTAAAGAAGATCAAATGGTAAATCAACGATGTGTAAACTATGCGCCCGGATAACTGATGAGGCCTTTTTATGCTTTCCAGTGTTTCCCTTTACCTGTAAAGTATAATGTAGGTTTTTGTGTTTGTGTAAAGGGTTCCCACAGTTCCCCTCAGAGGGAGTTTCTCTATCACAAATGCCCCTCCCCCCCTGTCTGAAACACCTCCATTGGACTCCTTTGTTTGCTTCTGTAACATAGTGACATCACTATATAACATTTGTGCTTCTATGCACTAGAGCAGTGATTCTCAAATGGGGGTACGCGGACCCCTGGGGGTACGTTGGGGTACTGCAGGGGGTACGTGAGATTTAAAAAAAAAAAAAGGTTAATTAAAAAAATACCATGCATGATTACAAAAATAATCATAGTACAATAAGTTAAATAGAAAACACAATTTTATATAAAATATTCCTAGAACCACCAAGGGTTCAAGATCCATTCTTGTGCTTTTCTGGTGCTTAACTGGTTGTTCTCTGTTTTTATAAGTGTGTGGTCACGTCCTAGTCACTTTGCTCTGCGCTGCGCTACTGCTTGTTACAACTTGCCGTACTCGCCATTAACTACTACTACAAATGTTCACTTAAATAAAACTGCTAATTCAGTAATATCCGGATGAACAACACTTCTTATTCAACAAAACAACTAACACATAAATGAATAGGTGTCAGGGTTGAGCGAAGCAGGCAGGACCTTATTTCCTTTATTTCAAAGCTACAAGTAACATACAGAGCTCTCCCCCGTGAACACAGTCAACAACAAACAAGGATCTCACAAAGACTAACAGAAAAAGCAGAACCTAAATGCACACAGGACTAATGAAACAAACAAGACACAGGTGAGGAGGGAGGAGAAAACACAGGGGCACAAGGTAAACACAATCGGGTAATCAGGTAGGAGGGAACACACAGACAGGAAGCAACAGGCAAGACGGGGGGTGAACACTTTTCAAAATAAAACAGGAAACCAAAGACAGATCTAGACAAGACAAAACACAACACAGACAGATCGTGACATTACCCCCCCCCCCTCAAGGGACGGATCCCAGACGTCCCTAAAAACAAAAAGTCCAAAACATCCAGCAGGGTGGGTGGAGGGGGACCGGAGGAGGGACACGGGCGGACAGCCCGGGGGCAAAGCAGAAGCCGAGAAGGGGGACTCGGGCGGACGGCCCGGGGGCAAAGCAGAGGCCGAGAAGGGGGACTCGGGCGGACGGCCCGGGGGCAAAGCAGAGGCCGAGAAGGGGAACTCGGGCGGACGGCCCGGGGGCAAAGCAGAGGCAGAGAAGGGGGACTCGGGCGGACGGCCCGGGGGCAATGCAAAAGGGCAGGGAAGTCCGCGGCGGGGAAACTCAGGGGGCCGAAGGCCGCGGCTGGGGAACTCAGGGGGCCGGGCACAGGGACGGGCAAGAAGGCGGCGACGGGACAGCTCCGGAGGACGGGCAGGAAGGCAGCGCCGGGACAGCTCCGGAGGACGGGCAGGACGGAGGCGGGACAGCTCCGGAGGACGGGCAGGAAGGCAGTGCCGGGACAGCTCCGGAGGACGGGCAGGAAGGCAGTGCCGGGACAGCTCCGGAGGACAGGCAGGACGGAGGCGGGACACTGCCAGAGGACGGGCAGGAAAGCAGCGCCGGGAAAGCTCCGGAGGACAGACAGGAAGGCCGCGATGGGGCCCCTCCGGGGTCAGCTGGATTACCGGAGCAGGAGTACAGGGATCGGGAGCTCTGGGAGCTGGCGGGACCCCCGTTGGGACAGGAACCGGTGTCGGCCGGACAGGAACCGGAGCCGTCGGGACAGGTGTAGAGGGAACCCCTGACGGGACAGGCATAGACGGGACCCTAGACAGAACATGGGCTGGTGTCAGTGGACCCCGGACGGAGCAAGGGCTGGTGTTGATGGGACCGCCGGCGGAACAGGACACGGTGTCGGCGGAACAGGTGTCAGCGGGACCCCCAACAGAACTGGACATGGTGTAGGCGGGACCCCCGGCGGGTCAGGATCTGGTGGCAGCGGGACCTCTGACTGCACAGGATTCGGAGCTGGCTGGACCTCCGACGGAACAGGTGTCGGCGGGACCCCCGGCGGGACCCCCAACGGGGTCAGGACACAGAGTTGGCAGGACTCCCAACGGAACAGTAGTCGGCGGGACCCCCAACGGAACAGGACACGGGGTTGGCTGGACCCCCGGCAGGATAGTAGTAGGTGGGACCCCCAAAGGGACAAGACAAGGGGTTGACAGGACCCCCGGCAGAACAGTAGTCGGCGGGACCCCCAACGAGACAGGACGTAGTGTTGGCAGGACCCCCAGCGAAACAGGTGTCGGCTGGACCCCCAACGGCACAGGACATGGAGTTGGCAGAACCCCCGACGAAACAGGTGTTGGCTGGACCCCCAACGGCACAGGACATGGAGTTGGAAGGACCCCCGACGAAACAGGTGTTGGCTGGACCCCCAACGGCACAGGACATGGAGTTGGCAGGACCCCCGACGAAACAGGTGTCGGCTGGACCCCCAACGGCACAGGACATGGAGTTGGCAGGACCCCCAGCAGAACCCCCAACGGAACAAAGCATGGAGTTGGGACATGAGTTGGGACTTGAGAAGGGACTTGAGAGGGGACATGAGAAGGAACAAGAGAGGGGACTAGAGAAGGGACTAGAGAAGGGACTTGAGAAGGGACTAGAGTAGGGACTAGAGTAGGGACTTGAGTAGGGACTAGAGAAGGGACTAGAGAAGGGACTAGAGAAGGGACTAGAGTAGGGACTAGAGTAGGGACTAGAGTAGGGACTAGAGTAGGGACTTGAGTAGGGACTAGAGAAGGGACTTGAGAAGGGACTTGAGAAGGGACTAGAGAAGGGACTAGAGAAGGGACTTGGGAAGGGACTAGAGAAGGGAATTGAGTAGGGACTTGAGTAGGGACTACTCAGATAGCATTCCCTCTCGCCTTCTCAGAGATGTTTTTGAATCAGTTGGAGCGAGTATTTTATTGCTTGTAAACACCTCTCTTAGTTCAGGATGTGTCCCAGCTGCCTTCAAACATGCCGTGGTCAAGCCACTACTTAAAAAGAAAAATCTTGATCCCTCCATTCTCGCAAATTTTAGGCCCATCTCACAGCTACCTTTTTTTATCTAAAGCCCTGGAGCGAGTAGTCTACGCCCAGCTGCAGTCGTTCTTAACCACGCATGGAATCCACGAAAAGTTCCAGTCTGGCTTCAAACCCATGCACAGCACTGAAACAGCCCTTTTAAGAGTTTTTAATGATCTGCTCCTAGCCGCCGATTCAGGTAGCCCAACTGTCTTGGTGCTGTTAGACCTGACAGCTGCCTTTGACACTGTGGACCATAGCATCCTGTTGTCACGGCTTGAACAGTCCGCAGGCATCACAGGCTCTGCCCTTGCATGGTTCAGGTCCTACCTGACAGACCGTAGCTTCTCAGTGCAGCTAGGTGCTTTCTCCTCTGCCAAAGCCCCTCTTACCTGTGGGGTTCCCGAAGGCTCGATTCTGGACCCCATCCTTTTTCTACTGTACATACTGCCCCTAGGTTCAATTCTCACAAAACATAATATCCTCTTCCATTGTTACGCTGATGATGTACAGATGTATCTGCCTCTCAATCAAAATGCCAACTCACTACAGCAGTTGATGGACTGCTTAACAGAGATTAAATCCTGGCTGAGCCAAAACTTCCTCACCCTCAACGAGAGCAAGACCGAGGTCATCTTTTTTGGACCCCAACCTCCAGCCTCCCCGGTTGATATTCTGGGCTCCCTCAATAAAAACATCCTCTCCTCTGTCATGAACCTTGGAGTGACCTTCAATAGCGCTTTTAAATTTGATAAGCAGGTCAGCACCGTAGTCAAGACCTGCTTTTTTTAAATACGACTGTTGGCTAAGACCAAGTCGTTTTTATCTTTTAAAGACCTAGAAAGGGTTATTAACGCCTTTGTTACCTCGAGACTGGATTACTGCAATGCTCTGTATGTGGGTATGGACCAAGCGTCAATTAGACGCCTGCAGCTAGTTCAGAACGCAGCTGCACGTCTTCTCACTGGCCATAAAAAGCGTGACCACATCACCCCAATTCTGGCCTCACTACACTGGCTTCCAGTTCGGTTCAGAATAGATTTTAAACTCCTTTTATTTGTTTTCAAAGCCCTAAATGGGCTGGCTCCGGCCTATATAGCCGAACTCCTCCATCGCTACACCCCAGCCAGAGCCTTAAGGTCGGCTGACCAGCTACTGTTGATAGTGCCTAAGACCAGGCTTAAAACCCGAGGGCACCGAGCATTCGTAGCAGCGGGCCCCAGGCTCTGGAATACTTTGCCCCTCCATGTGAGGTCGGCCCAGACCCTAGGGGTTTTTAAATCAACACTTAAAACTCATTTCTTCTCTCTGGCCTTCTAGCCTTCTCTTATCAAGCTCCACTTTTGTGGAATTCGGCTTCCGGTTTGTGTTCGGACGGCCGATAGCCTATCCGTTTTATTGGTACGCTTATGACCTTCCTTTTTGATAAAGCTTATAGCTGATATAATAATCTAATAAGACTGCATTGACGTAGATACGCTGTGCATCTTCACCTATATTTGGGTCCTTGCTCTTTCACTTAAATCCTAAAAACTTGGATCGTATATTGAAAAATAAGGTTATTACTACTACTCATTCTTCTAAATCTTGTCTCTCTCTACTTCTCATACTCTCTACTCCTGTAATCGATACTTTCTATCCTCTCTATCCAAAACCTTTTCCCTCTCTAACCTCTCAAGGTTTTATTAGAGGGAAACAGGTTTGCAGAGTGGCTTAGGCAGGCCGGGGAGTGTTACGATTCGTAGACACAGCGTACCTCCCTATCTCTCACCAATTTCCAACTCAGGCTCCAGTGGGGACTTTGTTCCCTGCGTGTGCCTCTCCACCTCTGTTTCTTACTCTCTTACTTGCTACCCTTTTCCCTTAACCTATCCTAAGGGAGTGCTTGTTCTTCCTTCTGTCTGTCTGTGTCTATGTATTCTCATGTTCCAATTAACCCAGCCAAATTGTTCTTCTTTTGTGTCTATATCCAGGGGTGCACACAACTTTCTCAGTGAGGTACTCTGGGTACCTGGAGTCAGTGTTTGGTACTCCAACTTCTGTCTCCCCTCAAAGTTTCCATGAAGCCCTCTGTATCGCGATTGTCAACGGGGGGAGGGGTGGTAGTGGAGTACAGCGCTTTGCGCTTGTCAACGGGGGTGGGGGGGGGGGTGGGGGGCGGGGGGGTGGTAGTAGTAGAGTACAGCGCTTCGCGATTGTCATCGGGGGGGGGGGGGGGGTGGTAGTGGAGTACAGAGCTTCGTGACCGCAGAGCGTGTGAACGTTGTGATCAGCTGTTTTAGCGCAGTGCCGCTGTACAGACGGACGTTAACAGCAGCCCTGTCTGTGCACACGGAGACCGACTCTGTCGCCTTCTGGAAAAGCTTCACAAGTACGTCGGTACGCAAATGCGCTTTGTGACACAAGTGACGGTACGCATTTCAAATTGTTGCCGCGCATGCGTACCTGTGCACCCCTGTCTATATCGACGCCGGGATCCGGAGTCGAGGCTGATCCTCTTGCTGTGGTCCTGTGCCCTGGATCCTCTACCCTGAGTTCTGGATTAAGTCGTGGACTTTGGGTCGTGGCTGAACCGGTCTCTGCGGTCCTGCCTGGCTCTCGTCATGCTGCTTCCCTGATGGCTCCCACAGGATTGTTGTTGACATCCTCGTGGATTCATCTTCTTATTATAGACACATGCATTTCCTAACATTCGGTCTACCTACCTACGCTGTAAAACGTATTATCTCTTCGATTTACACACAGCATCTATTGCACGTCTGTCCGTCCTGGGAGAGGGATCCCTCCTCTGTTGCTCTCCCCGAGGTTTCTCCCATTTTTTCCCTTTAAACTGTGGGTTTTTCTCCGGAGGTTTTTCCTTGTACGATGTGAGGCTCTAAGGACAGAGGGTGTCGTTTTTTCTCATACTGATAATCTGAACAAACTGTGCTGTTGTATTAGCTGTAAAATGTCTTTACTGTAGGGTATTTTTATTATTTGTACAGCACTTTGGCTCGACCAAAAATCTTTTATAAATGTGCTATATAAATAAAACTTGATTTGATTTGATTTGATTTAGAGAAGGGACTTGAGTAGGGACTGGAGATGGGACTTGAGATGGGACTAGAGGAGGGACCATGGCTGCTGGGGCCGGGACCATGGCTGCTGGGGCACGGGCTGGAATCCTGGCCTTGCGTTTCCTTCCATGCTGCCTTGAAGCCTTGTGGAGGCTCAGAGGTCCTCCAAAGGCCAGACGAGACCCAGCGAAAGGGTCCTTGAAAGGAGCCTTGTTGGGAACTGTGGCAGGCAGGGGGCTAGCATGCCAGGGGCTAGCAGGCCGGGAAACAGGTTTGACCTCAAAGCTACCGAAAAAGTCCTCCACCCACTCGGGTAGTAACTCCCTTAACCAGGGCCTCGAGGTTACTTCTTGGCGTGCCGTAGAGATGATAGACTGCCTCTCTTCTGGAGGCGTATCGACAGTCATTTTTTAAGCACATTAAATTGTACGTCACCTCGTCTGCTGGGTCCATTCTTGGTGAGATCCTTCTGTCAGGGTTGAGCGAAGCAGGCAGGACCCAAATGCAGATTTAACAGAAAATACCTTTATTTCAAGGCTACAAGTAACATACAGAGCTCTCCCCCGTGAACACAGTCAACAACAAACAAGGATCTCACAAAGACTAATAGAAAAAGCAGAACCTAAATGCACACAGGACTAATGAAACAAACAAGACACAGGTGAGGAGGGAGGAGAAAACACAGGGGCACAAGGTGAACACAATCGGGTAATCAGGTAGGAGGGAACACACAGACAGGAAGCAACAGGCAAGACGGGGGGTGAACACTTTTCAAAATAAAACAGGAAACCAAAGACAGATCTAGACAAGACAAAACACAACACAGACAGATCGTGACAATAGGTACGTAAATTAATGGTCGAATAGCATTTGTTGTGTCCATTTCTATATTTTTGTTGTTTGTTTTGAGCACTAGCACTAGATGGCGCAATGGGGCACAAGGTTTTTAGGTGATTTGACCGTGCCGTGCACACACTGTTTTTCTTTGGAAATAAAATGGTATTGATAGAGACTCCTAAATCAATATATCCATAGAAAAAATGAAATGTACAATGTGTGAACAGCACAGCATTTTACTTTTAATTCAGATATGTGTTTTTTCACAGTAATTTGTCACATTTTATTGTATTTTCACTGTTGCATATTTATGTTAAAGGTGGGGTAGGTAAGTTTGAGAAACCGGCTCGAGATCGCTAGAATTAGAAAATACACAACCGGAAGAAATCTGCCACTTCCTTACAGAGCCCCTCCTCCAACACACACGAACGCGCACATGACCAATGAGGGCACGAGATAAGTTTGTGCACAGATGGAAGGCTGACAGGCAGGTAGGCCATACAGTTATTTTAGCCGGGCCGGCTAAAATGATTGGTCGTGCTTTTTACAGTATTACGGCTTCCACAGATGACATTTTTTTATGTATTTATTGTCAAAGCATTTAATATATTCATTGCTATCGGGATGTTAAGAGCATTCCATGGAATATAACAAAAAGTGTTTCTGAAATAAATTACATACCCTACCTTTAAGCTATTCATATAAAACATTTAGAATACTTTTTTATAATATTTCTTTTTTTTCAAATCTTGTCATCTTTATGTATTATACACAAAAGCTAATTCCTTGTATATATAAATCTACTCGCCAATAAATGTATTCTGATTATGATCCTTGTATTTCAACACTTATGAAACAATATACATTATTGTCTGTTTTCAGGTGTAGCTTCAATCTAAAAACTATTCTCACTGTTTGTACCTCTGTGTGTTCCACTCCGGCCTCCTCTTGTCCCTCCTGCTTCTGTCTGTTCTGGCAAACGCCTCATACGGGTCTCCTCCTCCTCCTCCTGCTGCTCCTCCTCCTCCTCCTCCTCCTCCTCCTCCTCCTCCTCCTCCTCCTCCTCCTCCTCCTCCTCCTCCTCCTCCTCCCTCAGGTAGACAGATGTTCTCCTTGCCGGTTGTCATTGCTCGAGTCCTGCTGTTTGGAGGAGCCACAGATGAAGGAGGGGGGGGGGGGCTGGTACTGTGCAGCGACGTCAGGAGTCTGAACTATGGCAGCTGCTTCTACACACAGAACATAAGAGGGGGGAGGATTTTAGGATTTTATGGAAATATGTTTGTGAGCTGTGATCAAATCCCTATTCGATGTTTTCTGACAAAATAATGAGCATTAAAATATGTGAAGAATTCAACAGCAAGTTTGGCTGTAACAAAGTACATTCATATTAGTAATATTTGTAATTTATTATAAAGTAATATTGTCGTAATATTGTCGTAATATCTAAAGTAGTCTTTCTGTGGGAAAGACTACTATTCCCACAGAGTATTAAAATAAACAGATATGCGCAATGTGTGGAAGACAGTTATAATAAAACAGTAAGACGATCTAAATTTGGTAATAATTTAATCTGGCTGCTTTTAAAAAAAAGTTTTGACTATTCTAAAGGCCTTTTTTCTTTGTTGAATGAGTGTGGAAACATCTAACTATTGTCCATTGCTTATCCAAAGTCAGGTCGGAGGTAGCAGTTCCAGCAGAGAGCCCCAAACTTCCCCTTCCCTTGCCATATAAACCAGCTCTGACTGGGGGATTCCATGGTTCTCCCAGGCCAGCGTGGAGATAAAATCCCTCCACCTGGTGCTGGTTGGGGCCCTCGGTCTAGAACACTTCCCTAGGAACCAAGATGGACTGGTACATTGAGAGCTTTGCCTTCTGGCTCAGCTCTCTCTTCATCACACTGGTGCAGTAGAGCACCTGCTGTATTACTCCCGTTGCTCCGATTCTCCAGAAGTACTACCAATAGTTGTTTTAGTAGCGGTTACAGCACAAGCCGTAATAATAACAGTAATAGTTGTAGGAGTTAAGTTGAGTTACCTGTCTGTACAGCAGTGTCTCTGTATGGGGAGGCTGAACTGCTGACCTCTTCCCTCTCCAAACACTCGCTCTGCCTATTTACTGCTGAAACACACAAACAAGTACTAATTACACACACAGACTGATTTCTTCACACCAGTTAATTGGGCCATACCAAAGAACAGTTACAGCGTCAATAATGTACATTATTTATTACATTGCTTAATTGAATGCTGGATTCTGATTGGTCAATTTGGAAATCCGAAAGATTGTAAATTCTCGCAAACAGACTGCCGGACTATTTCGCATCAATCAGCAAAAAGTAGTGAAGTAAATGTAACATCGGCTGTTGACAACAAACATTAGTTTTCTCCATCAGAAAACACCATGGAGTACTATTTGAATATTCATTTTCATATTTGTGGAGAGCACAAAACTTTGTATTCATGATGACTAAACTGTCCCCAGTAAAGGAAAGAAAAACAGAACAAGAGAAGGAAAGAGGTTAAGAGACAGAGTGCTGGAGGTCAGTGAAATCACAAAAAGAAGACAGACAGGAAGTAAACACTAACAGGAACACGGGGTGGGCTCTCACAGTGTTTAAAGCAGTGGCATTGCACACAAGCGCATTTTGTGTGTGTGAGTGACTGAGCAAGCGAGAGAGAGAGAGTGAGAGAGAGAGAGAGCGCACTGGTTAAGGGGATTGTTGTTAGCATCTGGTGCTGCTAGCTAGCTGCGCTAACAGATATAAGAAGCCTTTTCTACAGGAAGGTGGAGATAGAGCTCTCTCCTGTCAGACTGAGAGACTCTGATAACTACAGCTCAGTGAGGTAAAGGACTCTGAGTGTTTAGATAGTTCACTTTAGTCTAAGTTATCTCAGTGGGTCTCAAACCTTTTGGTCACCATTAAAGTAAACAAGTATTTCAAAGGGACACCTTTATCTATTTAATATAGCTGTAAAAAATAACTGAATAAATAATAACAGACATGAAATCATTCCAATTTATACTATAAGACAGTTAAAAAAAATACAGTTTTAAAAGGGGAGTGATTAGTAAAATGATAACGTATATATACGTAAAATAAGATGCTATACTTTAAAACGTATTTACTGCTGCTTCACAGAGGAGCAGGGGAGAGGGATATATACATATATATATTTCTTTTACATTTTTTATTTGATTTATTCTAATGTACAATTGTCGGGCTGGGCTAAGCTCCACATGATACTAGATCCAGGCAACGCCCCCTGGTTTTTACAGACTTTGACAGTTACAGAAACCTCCATCAGTGCTGCTTCGCATCGGGAGCCTTTTTTCATTAATGACTCCTGCATATTATCGCTTTCATAATGTACCGGTACTTTTTAAAGTAAATGATCCGTGTACCAAACAGGTCAGGTGTGAAATCAGTCTCTCAAAGTGCAAAACACTTTTTAATATTGCTCTACTCACCGCTGGGCTCCTGCATGTCTTGCTGGCTCTTCTTGTCGTCGTCATCGTTGCCTTTCTCTAGCTGCTCTGCCAGGTTGGTCGACTGCACATGCACACACACACACACACACACACACACACACACACACACACACACACACACACACACACACACACACACACACACACACACACACACACACACACACACACACACACACACACACACACACACACACACACACACACACCACACACACACACACACACACACACACACACACACACACACACACACACACACACACACACACACACACACACACACACACACACACACACACACACACACACACACACACACACACACACACACACACACACACACACAAATTATAATTACAACACAACATAGAAATAATACAGTGTGGAGAAAATGTGTGCATTGTTTGTCCCAACCTTCTGCTTCTCCCTCTGTGTGTCGATCTCGTACTGTCTCTCCAGCATCTCCCTCTCTAGCGCCACCCTCCTCTCGTCCTCTTTCTCTTCCTCTCTTCTCCTCGCCTCCTCTTGTTCCTTCTGCCGCCGTCGCTCCTCCACCTGGGCCTCAATCGCTCGCTGTGGGAGGAGACGTGTGACACTGTTCACAATGCCAGCAAATAAAGACCTTGCTGTACTCCATCCTGTCTCCTCCTCCTCTTCCTCCTCCTCCTACCTGCTGATCCAGCTCTTTGAGCCTCCTCTTCTCTCTCTCTTCTATCTGGGTGGGATCCAGCAGGGCGGTCATGGTCCTCAGATGGCTGGACAAAATAGGAGAGAACATTGACTCATTTATATACCTGGATATAAATCTGCAATTTGTTTAGAAACTCAAATACAGTCGTTGTATGATGAGACTTGTTGCTAGAACAACTGAGCCATTTAGAGATTTAAGGCTCGTGTCGTGAATGGGAACATTCATTCAAAGCCTGAAAAACCACTAGGGGACAAATGAATCTTACATTTAGCCAATAGTAAATCTAAAGTGTTGGCTATGAAACCCAAAGTCAAGTCCAGACTCGACCTAAGGAAATAGGTTACAAGGTTTCCAAGTTTTGCTTAATGCCAATGTAAGTATGTTTATGAAGTTAAAAATGTGCAGAAATTGGAAATCAGTTGTGTTAAGGAATAATTCTTCCAGATATCTAACCTTTTGCTCTGTGACGTTTTATGATCTACTTTGACGTCTGTTATCTCCTTTAAGGAAAGGCCTTGGTGCCATATGTGTTGTTGTCACCAGTTTGTGACCGGTCAACTTGTCTGGCACGAATGGTACTTGTTGTGAGAACGCTGAGGCACTTCTTTATCGGTGTTTGTGGACTCTAAGATGTGAAATCTTTGAGGCCATGAGTGTCGGACGCAGGTGGCTCAGTGTTCCCAGCTGTTTAGTCTACTCCTTCAGAGATGTTGATTACTCTCTGTGAACCAGTTAAAAGGTCTAGCATAGAGAGAGGCTCTTCAGAATTGACGTGGCAACTCTACCGTGAAGTCAGAACCTCTGACTCTTTGATTTGTGATGTGAATCCTCCGGCCGATACTCTGTAATAAACCCATCAGTGTTTGACATCAAAGCTCCAACTCTCACCGTGTCTCCTTCCTGAGTCGGTGACTCCATGCATTGCTACACAGAAGTTTCCCCCACAAATTGGCGTTGTCGGCAGGATACCAACAGATCTTCAGAACTGGTAAGTGTGATTTCAAATCTACATTTGGACATTGTTTTACCAGAATCTGTGATTGACGGTATCCTAAAATTATCTGTGAAGCTAAGCGACTGTGTTTCGTTTTGGTTAATGAACATTTGGGGCTGGAAACCCCAGGGGATCATCCAGGGACTCTGTCCTGGCTGATTTCCTCTGTGTGTGCTGCTCGGGACGTATGTGCCGTACAGGCATACACGGAGATGTTTAAAAAGACCTTAATGAGGGCAGCAGTAAAGTGGAACTTCTGTGTCAAATCAAAATAGAGATTTGTAATGAACAAATCGCCGAGATTCCGGGGGTTTCAGCGGCCAACACTAGCAGTTAACTAAAGCAGCCAGAGATATTACCCCCAGCGCCTCTAAAAAAAACACGGCTCCAGCTGCTGCGGCTCCGGGGGGTGTGTGTAAAATACCTCCCCGTATCTGCATGGGCTGGTGAAGTGAACTCAGAGGGAGAAAGTCACAGCTTTTGTCTATAGCTTTAACTCACACGACCGCCGTCTCTATTAAAAACGAGATGGTTTAAAAGCACTCTCGTGGCTTGTGGCCGTTTACGATGTGCTGGCAGGTGCGAGGTGCGTGCATTACCTGATGCGCCACAGTTCCCTACATTGCTGGAGGAACTGGTGCCGTTCCGGGGTGCATACATAAAATTATAGGCTGATTGATCACGGGTGGGCAGTGGCATGCAAGTGTAGAACAAAACTGTGTTTCATCGTTGTGATGAACATGATGGCGTGTGTATAGGCTGGTCGAGTAGGACTACAGTTAACTGTGTAGTTTCGGATAGAAAGGGTAGCGGAGAAAAAAGTCTATGCGCTCCAGATCGGGGGGGCATAGCACCACCAGGGGCGGACTGGGACAAAAATTCAGCCCTGGAAACTGACCCAGTCCGGCCACATGAAATGTCAAATGTTAGAAATCCGCTGTTTATTATTTAAAGTTTTACGTCCGATTCGCTCCTTTTTTCCTCTCTGTACACAGCTCCAGTTTGGGCATTGGCCTGTCATCAGATTTCATTTTGAGTTGCTGCTGTAGTAGTGGAAGTTTAGTAAAAAAAAATGTTATGAAATAATCCAAATCTTCACCCTCCATAATTGCACTTGCTTCAATTGCTTGCTACTTTTTAAGGGCGAACTGAAGTTGATGCGATTTGGTTGGATTGTGAGGCATGACGTGAGCCTCATCTGATTGGTCAATCCCTCAATTTCTTTTCACCAAGGGAAGCCAATTTCGGCTAGCCTCCTCTCGCAACAGAGTGCAATCTACTGTTTCACCATAACATCTAGAGGGGCGCTGTTTCACTCTTTGTAAAATGGGGGATGGGGAATTGAGAATGGGGGAGAGATGGGCCGGCAGAATATTTACCGAAACTAAACGAAGTGTTTTTATTTATTTATTAAAATTATAACTACAATCCAAAAAAACAGGGGAAGCCACCAGCTCAACTCTGTCCATCATCATGAACGCAGGAGGCTGGCTGTATATCTGAACTCGCGCCCTCATCATTCTCTTCATCATCTTGCACTTGTTCTAAGCTGCTGCTGATAGTGCTTGTAGCAGCGCTGCTGCCAAAAAGGTCTGTCAATTTGCGACATTTATATGCATCATTTATAAGCATCACCTGCGAGTTTATCAGTGGATGTTTGCTGGAACTGTTTGTAAACAGCGTGTTACCTGACGGACACACACAGCGTGACTCCGGTCAGGTAGAGACCGGTCTCCACCGCTGCAGACTCGCTGTTTGAGGGCTTGATAACCCACTCCCCCTCCACACCGCTCCACACTCGTTGGTTTGGAACAGCACGTAATGTGGCGGACCCTCCGCGCGAGGGCCTTCGTGTGGCCGGTCTTTTTTCTTCTTCGTGTGTGATTATTTGACAGATAAGAACCACACAACTGCATTAGCGGCCGCTGTCGCCCTCTGTCGGCCGTAAGCGCAACTTAAATGATGACTTTAAAAAAAAAATGTAAAGGGCTGGCCGGCCGTCAACGGCCCTTGACGACCGGCCGTTCTGTGGTTCTCCAGATTCTACAGATGGCCAGTCCGCCCCTGAGCACCACTAGAACAGGGTAGTGGGGTCGCAAGAGGATAAGCTAGTTATTGCTCTTGGACGGTCTTCAGGCACCGATCTAGGACTTGTATACAAGGGTGGGAGCGCGAGTCAAGGTGCCCCACTGACAGATAATTCCCTACCCCCTCTGAAACCTCTTTAATCCGGACTAAATTGAGCTGGATGAGCTGTTGCTGACGCACTGGTGTTTATTACGAGTTCATGTTTGTTTGTCTGATTGTTTGTATCGGGGGTCTGTATTGGTTTGTCTAACCGCCGTCTTGTGCATGTTTTGTAACAACTAATAATGAATCAGTCCATAGCCAGGGTAAAATAAACTAAGCTTTAGTTAACTCACCAAAAGTAAATGACTTGAGAAAAATAAATAATATATAAATGTAAAGCAAAATTCTGGTAGTATAGATGTGCTGCAAATGAAAATAAATAGCAAAAGAGTGTTTTATGTCCTGCATCTGAGTGTGCAGAGGAACATGTAAACAAGAAGCACATTGTTCAGGGTGTGCGCTGTAGGTGTAAGAAGAAGAGAAGATTATATTACTTTAAGAATACATTTTTAAATTGTATTGCTGTTATGTTAAGATATGTTTGTGACCTTTTATAAACCCTATGCCCCGTCCTGCACCCAGAGACCCTCAGAGGCATCACTGCTGGTCGTAAACAACCTGTCTGAGGAGGTCAGGGTTGCAAAATCTGTCTGCTGTTTTAGGTCAATGTTGTATTATTTGTTTCATTTATTCTTAAATCTATGTATTGTATGGTAATAATGAAAAAAAAAACTTAATGTATTGAACACATTCAGAAACAAAGCTGATAAGACAGAACTAGACTCAGACATAATACAAATTATTGTTGAAACATTTTGCGCTGTTGCTGCAAAATGGAAACTTTGTTGATTATCTGTTCCAACTGGCCACTGGAATCAGATAATTAATATAAGTTGAAGTTCAATTACAGTTTTAAATATAGTTTAACATTCTTTATTAAACTGCTTCAAATGATTTCTCGTATCAACCAATTGGTCTCCATAGACATTACTACAATTCTAATAGTTGTTAAACTACTGACAAGTTTTCTGAAACCGAGCTTATGAACAAAAGAGTAAAGGTCGCTGGTTAAGCCAGGATCAATATATTTGTTGACGTTAACATTACAGTGTGCATAATGTGTTAAATGAATTGAGCAATTATTTAAAAAGTATAATGTTGCAATCTCTTTACAATAAGTAATTACAGTTAAAAAAAAAAAAAAGTTTTCCAAGGGCCTCTCCTTCACAGCCCTACACTTTAAATCATGAGACTTTCAAATCATAACAGACAGAGATCGGTATCACTTTGTGTTGCAAGCCAAATCCATGTAAAGGTTCTACTTGAGCCCAATTTAAATACCATAAAGAAAGTATTGAACCCAGCTCAAGCTAAATGTCAAATGTATTTAATTAATGTACAAGTGTTTCGATTTATTTAAAATGTTCCAGTCTAGCTTCTTTCGAGTTCAGTCTAAGCAACAAATTGTTTCTCATAACATTCTCACTGCTGTCCCAAATGTTGTAACCTTGGGCAGACAAGCTGTTCACACACACACACACACACACACACACACACACACACACACACACACACACACACACACACACACACACACACACACACACACACACACACACACACACACACACACACACACACACACACACACACACACACACTTTGGATAAGTATTCACCTTATCCACATTGTAAATTGTTGCCTTCTTTAAAGTTATTAGTAATTTAAGATTAATTATTAAATTAAATGTGGTACATAAGATAAAATAAATAAAATAACTTGACTTGATCATTTTGTTCACAACATTAGACCTGTCCTCTAATCTCTACTAGAATAAGATAAGTGTGCATGTTTGGATGTTTTAACACTCCTGTAATGTACCTAATCTTGATATCCTTTTCATTACAGAGCTGGGGAAATGGTGTATTGATTAGATTCTG